AGAGAGGGAGAGAGAGATGGACTGAGGACTCGTGGGTGGAAGACTGTTGCCTGTGGACTAGAGAATCGCCGAAGTGCTGTATAGTTGTTTATTTGAAGCGCCGGAGCGCCTGCCTGTTTTGTTATTTTCAGTCAATTGAATAAATTACCACGAGCCTCAGTCACGCCGACTCAGACTTCTTCCTTCCTTCCTTCCCTCGAACTTTGTTACACATATATATGCCGCCACAAATAGAGTGCAAGTCTGTGGAAAACACCGCTTCTGTTATGAATATTATTCAATATTTTAATTTGAATGTCGGATTGAAATGAACATTGCTGTTATTAGAGTAGTTAATCGTTAACATAAGCGTGGCTAACGCTAATATAATGAGCATTGGAATTAAGTTTCTTTATTAACTATTTAATGCTCCTATAACTTTTATTAGGGTTAAAAAAAAACGGTTGGTTGGTTGTTATTCTTGGCTGAATAACTCTAGAAGGTTATAAAAGCCCTTTAAAATTAAATATGTACACAGTTTGGATTAAATGAAAGTATAGTCAAATTTGTTAATTGTTTTAGTGTTTTGTTTTGGTACCGAGAACCGTGGATTTTCACTGGTATTGGTACCGAATACTGAAATTTTGGTACCGTGACAACACTACCAACTGGAAACCAAAATGATTATGAACCACAAAAGTCCAATAATATATACTAAGTGATCAACATGATATAAGCCGAAATGGAAAAATGTAAATTCTGGTTTCTAATTGTCTTGTTAATGACTTTAAAAGGTTTCAAGGTCCTGCCAGCAATAATTAACCAAACAAAGCAAAGTATATACATCTCCTCCTTTTTAAAGGTCAACACGCCTATTATGCTATCCTAACAATACACAATTATATAGTTTGTTGCATTTTACATTAATTTCACTTGCATTTAACATTGCTGTTGTCTCACTGTCCGTGACGCAATCAGAACAGAACAGATAGCCTAATTAAGGAAAGGAAAAGTACTGTCTAAAGAGAAAACACTCTCTGGTCGTGTTGTTACCGCTGTACTTGTCTGTGCCAAATCTATCTGTCGATCACTAGCAGCCAAGATGTCTGCATCTGCAACTTTAGACTCTAAATATTTACAGATGTCCACTCAAAGCCAGAGCAAAGACAAATCAATCAGAGTAAACGCCAAATACCCAATTTATATGAATACAGATTCCACAATCTAAAACCACGTAACAGTAATTATTTTTAAAAATCCTTCATTTTGCTCGCGTCGACTAACTGGCAAAATACCGGAAGTGGCGCATTTCATGGACGAGAATCCATAAAACACATTATTAGACTGTTTCCCAAGGCTGCATGATATATTAAACCCATGTAAAAATCATAATTAAGCATAATTGTGAATTCACAAACACTACAATTTAATTAATTATATGCAATGCCGTTCTAATACAGTATATGCGCTTTAATTATTTACATACGTGTAGGTTAAGTACATGCATCACACAGCAGCTCCGTTCACGGTAGTTCCACATGAACTGTTATCATTTACATGTGTAGAGCATCTCAAACTCCATCTCTGCATGTTGTTGTGAGTTTAGGTTTATTATAACGTTCATCTGGGAACGCAACGTGCGCCATTTCATCAGATTTGTAAGGTAAATCATTTATAAATCTACGCAAACACAGGAGAATACATCGCGGTTTCAAAATAAAAGTCGTTTAGATTAATTGATAAATTAGTCGATAGATTAATCGAAATTAATAGTCGTTAGTGGCAGCCCTACTTAACAGCATTAGGCAATTTATCAAGGCTTCTCTAAACTCAAGAAATCAAAAATTTAATTTGTAATCTAAGCTGATGCGTTTATCTAAAGCAAGTTACAGTGCACGTTTTATAGGGACAGTCCCCTTGAGGCAAACTAGGGTTAAATGCCTTGCTCAAGGGCATCATCCCTTATGGGATTTGAACCCATGACCTATCGGGTTGCCAGTCTAGACCCTTAACACCAACCACATGTACTCCTAACTGCTAAAAGCAGTTTTATATAATGAGATGAAGTTTAAACCAAAAAAGGACACTTTTCTATCCATCAGGCTTTAAATATTCCACCTTGCACACCAATTTCTCTACACACCCACTTCAATTTCTCTATAATTCACTTCAAAAACGCCTTTCAACATTTAAACCATCTGAGCACGTCAGGATGGCATCTCCCTCAGGGAAATATATATGCTTGCCGTGCAATTCACCATCGCTGAATCTACAGACAGCTTGTGGAGCCATCTGTGTTGATTTTGAGTGATTGTACGAGGCAACTCGTTTGAAGCTGGACCAGCAAGCTCCCCTAGGAGATCTCAGTGAAGAGCCATCACTGTGAGATCTCTCACACCCATAAAACACACACTGTTCCCTAATAGCTTCAACTGACAAGATAAACAGCAGCCTTTATGTATGAAAAAGGACAGAACAATAGCAACCCAGCTCTTATACGCTTGCACACACAAGGCTCATTTAGATATGAAAGGCATATCGGTATATAATTGGTCTATCACCTCACTGGCTTCAGCCTAATGACAGAGCGTGGATGATCTCATTACAGCAAAAGGAAAGCTGTGACATAAATCAAATCAAAAGAGCTTGTGCTGCACTGACTTGTTCAATAAAAACAGACACACAAACACACTTCACACTTCTTAGTTATATTTACTTTGTGTGTTTTGTATCCTGAGGGAGACCTCTGACCTGGAACACTCCCCAAAAACACCTTGTACAATCTTGACTAATAAATAAAAGAGTGACTACCAATTAGAGCTGCACGATTAATCGAAATTAAATCGCAAAGGCGATAAATCGCGATTAGGCAGAAGCTGTGATTGTCATGCGTATCTTTCAGTGAAGCACGGTTCTGTGATCAGCAGTAAATCTCCATCCGAAGGCCAGAGGGCGCTCTCGCGCTGAAACTCCAAATACACCCCGCAGAAGAAATCAGGAAATGCCTATAGCGGTTGCTGAATAAACAGAAGATTTAACTGCTTTGATTAATTCAACGTGACTAATAAACACACGACTACGACAATATATGGTTTATCCAAGTTTGTCTTATTATAATTTTTATTATAATGAAGTATATAATAATGCAATGCTAATCAACATAGTCTTTATCACTGCTAGAATACTATGAAATGTGTTGTGTGCCTTATTCTGTGTAAGAAGCCACATCATCTCACAGAAGGATTTACTTCAAACACTCGACTGACGTTATGAAGTGAGTGTGGAGTAAAAACATGTTATTAAGTGTGGTATTTTCACATACTTTCAGGAGGAACAGCATTTACTACACAGAGCCGTAGTTCACTGACATGCTACGCAAACAGCTTTCATAATCGCAGAACGATTTCTTCGATTTCATTATTGCACAATTATATCATCTGCGATTATGAATGCGATTTTGCGTAGCTTGTCCGTGAACTACGGCTCTGTGTAGTAAATGCTGTTCCATCTGAAAGTACGTGATGGAGATTTACTACTGATTACAGAACCAGCTTTACTGACAAGATGCGCATGACAATCGCATTCGATTAATCGTGCAGCCCTGCTACCAATTAAACAGAAGTTGGTTAATATTGGTTAAAAATAAAAAATATTGTTCAAACCGATTATCGGATCTCTTCTAACAAACATGAAGTGTATGTCATGCAACCACTGAGCAGAAAATGTGCAACTTTTATATAACAACCTAAATGGGCAAAAGTGAACATTACACAATCCTGCAAAAGATAAACAGAATAATAAACTATTATCAGCTGTTTCCACCTCCTGTAAGTCACTGACAGCAACAATATGGCACCCGCAGAATGACTCACCATTAGGGTTGGGCAATGTCTACCAAATTGGCATCGGACGATGTCTACAGTGAAACATCGTGATGGACGATGACATCGGGGGGCAGGGTTAGGGGATGTGCCCGAAGCATGAATCCGTTTGCAGAAAGGCACGGAAAACAAATAACACGTTCTACAGAGCCACTAAAGGGACATGTTTAGTCACTTGCTAGCGGTAGACTGTTACATTACAGTACATGAAAGTTCACCTACCACATACACAGAGTAAGGAGAGATGACTGATAGGACAATCTAATCTTGTAAAATGTGAGGAAGGTAAGGCCGCTCCGCAGTATAGAGTCTGTGTGATCGCGAATCTCGAAAGTGAAAGTAAAATGAGAGCGCACATTCGAAAGCAGTTTCAATGGCCTGCATATTAGTAGCGGCTCCCTGATGCCCACAATTTATATACAGTATAATTACCCAACGATATAATTGCTAGAGAAAGTACTGAAATATATGTTTTTTTATCCTCCCATCTCTTAGGCTATTTATTCCCTTTAGGGGTTCCGTAGTACACTTAATTTCCTTTCCGAAAACGGAATTGGGATGCGGAGAGCAAACGCACACAACCTGATTAATATTCATGAATCCTTAGTGCGTTTTTATATTGTTCTTATTAGTAGAATTCGAATAATAATACTAATAATAATAATAATAATAATAATAATAATATCTTATCAGTATTATTGTTCGTTTTTTT